GGAACGGGATACAAAACAAATATCCAGAAATCAGTCTCATTATGATACACCAATAATGAACCATCAGAAAGGGGAACTAAGAAAACAATCCCATTCGCAATTGCCTCAAATAAATAAATAAATAAATAACCTAGGAATAAATTTAATCAAGGTGATTAAAGACCTGTACTCAGAAAATTATAAGACACTGAAGAAAGAAACTGAAGAAAATACAAATAAATGGAAGCACATACTATATTCATGGATGGAAAGAACTAACATCATTAAAATGTCCATACTAGCCCTGGCCAGTTTGGCTCAGCAGTTAGAGTGTCAGCCTGTGGACCAAAAAGACCTGGATTTGGTTACTGCTAAGGGCACGTACGTTGGTTGCAGTTTTGTCCCCAGCGCCAGTTGGGGTTGTGTGGGTGGCAACCAGTCGGTATGTTTCTCTCACTTGGATGTTTCTCTTTCTCCCTTTCTCCCTCTCCCCCTCCCGCTCTTTCTGAAGATAAATACAAAAAAAAAAAAATGTACTCAGGTGAGGATTTTTAAAAAAAAAAGTACTAGTGTCAAGAGTAGCCCTGGCCGGTTTGGCTCAGCGGTTAGAGCGTCGGCCTGCGGTCCTGAGAGACCCAGGTTCGGTTCCCGCTAGGCGCGTACCTTGGTTGCAGTTTGTCCCCGGCCCTGGTCAGTTGTGCGGGTGGCAGCCACTCGATGTGTTCCTTTCACATCGATGTTTCTCTCTCTCTCTGTTCCTCTCTCTCCCTCCCACTCTACCTGAACAAAAAATGGAAAAATGTCCTCGGGTGAGGATAAAAAAAAAAAAAGAGTAAAGGGGATCAAAGAAAGAAAAGAATCTGCACTCCTTAATTTCAATCATTCTCTATCTAGCAATGTTTCACAAAGTGTGGTCCGAGGACCATTTACAGTACATTCACACAAGATTCTTTTCAAAATCCAGATTCCTACCACCAACAACCCTCAAATCTACAGAACCGGAATCTCTGAGAAAGGCCCAGAGTTTGCCATTTTACACAATCTCCTCGGGTGGTTTTTCTGTGCACAAATATTACAAACTGTTGATACGCAGACATCATTCAAAATTTTCAGCAAAAGAAAATAAACAGAACTCTAACTCTGAACTGGTAATTCAATTATTTCCTAATTTCTCTCACAACCACCAGCTCAAATAAACCAGGTTGTGGGAATGTAAAAGGAACAGATGTCCTGCAAATCTCTTGTCTCTTCTGCCTAACCTGTGAATCTTTCCCCCCCAAAAATAATTTTGCAAACTGTATCAATAGCTTTAAAATGTCCGTGCCATTTGCCCCAAACATTTCACCGGTAAGAATTTTTCCTATGAGAATAATCAAGGATGCAAAAAAGGTTATTAGGCAAAATGTCTGAGGCAGCAGCACTCATATTCATTATCTGCCCTTTCTTAAATATGCACACTGCATCTGGCCCTGGTGGATGCTTTACATACAGTATTTGTAACCCTCACAACTTAGAAACTACTTTAACCCCCATTTTAGAAATGAGAAAACTGAAGTTATTAACGTGAACCAAGGCCACACAACCAATAAATGACAAAGCCAGGGTCTGAATCTCAGGCATTTGGAGTCCAAACATCAGGCTCTTCCCACTGCCTACCCACCTAAAAAGTGTTATAAAATGTTGTAAAGTTGAAGCAAAGTGTGATATATCAAGGGAATATTATTATACAGTCACTTAACACCATGTTCTTCAAGAATCTTGAATAACATAGGAAATACCCATGATGCAATCTGAAGTGAAAAAGAAGAGAAGTGTGATCCCAGTTTAGAATGTAAGGGACCCTTGTCACACAAAGGTAGGGACTACATTTATCTTAGCTTTGTCTGCATCTCCAAAGCCTAACACTGTACATGACATATCAATATCTATCACTAAAATAAATTACATGCAGGCAGATTTTTTAAAGACCAGGGAAAAAAATGCCCAAAATGTTATCAGTGGTTATTGCAGGACTGGGGACTTAGGGGTGACTTTTGCTTTTGCTTTTTTACATCTGCTTGTACTTTTAAGCATTCTGTAATAAGTTTGTATTACTTTTATAATCACAAATAAAAGTAATGGCTAATATTCAATTCCTATGTTTAAGCACCTTCCTATACATGAGATGTAGTTCAAGTTCCAGACCAACTCAACACGCAGACTAATTATGTGCTTTACTATATTCACTATAACAAAGAAACTACTTCATAGCTAGAAAGTGATCATTTTCTTTTTATATGCCAGTATCCTAAATGAAATGGGATTTATACTTGTTATAAACATAAATACCTTTATGTTTAACTGTAGGTATACAGTTATTAGTCGCTTAGTGGGGAAGAAATGGATTTAGAAATGTATAACATCTACATAATGTTTCTATCCATGATTTGTGCACTCTCCTAAATGCTAGCACAAGAATTATTAAAAACCAAATGTGACGGCTTCTGCAACAAGAGGGTTTCTTGCCAAGATCATCCCCACACAGTTGCAAAAGCCATTATAAATTAGCATTACAATTGTGCCTCATCTCTGGTAGTTTATTAATAGGCATTTTACATCAAAGAATCTACATGGTCACTATCATCCCATGCTTTTTTTAAGAACTGTATTTTCGCATAAACCCAGGATGAGCCAACTGTGATATTTAATTAGCTCATCATTCTGGACCATTTCAAACAGCAAAACATGGCACAAATCTGATAATTCTACTATCAAACTGCCTCCAAATTGACTTCATCTTCTGAACAAATTCTGACTTTGTTGGCCAGATTATACTTCAGTGAACAATCTACAAAAAAGCCAAAGGGCAGAAGTCTGAACTACATTGAACCTGCTGATTCTAACAGTAATTTGAGATGGGTGATGGGTGGGAAGGAATAGGGAGAGAAGAAAGAATATCGTAGAGTAATAAAAGGTAAAATGGGCATTTATATTGTGTAATTTTCAATGAAAAAGAAATTTGATATGGAGAAAACAGTGGAGGGGAAAAAAGACAGTTACAGTACTTAGTGACCCTAGGTCCTATTTGTAAAAGGGGTAACAAGATGAGAGCAACCAGATTTACTACTCCTGGAATATGCACACCCCTCCCCCCCAAAAAAAATCCATCCACTTATAATATTACCAAATAATCTAAATTTCAAGGGATGAACAATACATGTCAAAGTGTCCAGTAAGGTAAGCTTCTGCTTCAGTCACAACTTGGAATTTTTGTCACAATGCCCTCTGCTTTGCCCATGTAGGGAAACTGCGTTGCATCACTCAGCACCCATTTGGACACCCTTCTTCCTTGCCTACTGCTAGAGAAGCTGGAAAAGAAGTTACATTCCCAGAATCTCTTGTAGCAAAGAGTGGCCAAAAAAATACAGATGGAAGTTCCAGGAGAGAGAACTCTGTATTACATAAACAGGCAAAACCTTGAACAGAAAACAATTTTTGTCCGCCCCCGCCCCTTTCCCTGCACAGACCACAGTGCAACTCAAGGCACCGCACAGCCAGACTACAATGATGAGGCTAAAGACCACAGGCTCAGGGCAGCAGAGGCAAGAAGGGGATTCGCTGGGCTTCTTGAGCAGCTGTGGGGGCAGGGCCTGGACCTCTTAGCCCCAGATTTTGTTAGTTGAGGAAAATAACCTCCAACTTGTTTAAGCCACTCTATGTTGGGTTTTCTGTTAATCGCAGCCAAACACATTCCTGCCTGTTAAACTCACTGATATGACAAACCTTTCAGTGTTTTAATTCATCAATGATCAACTAAACCAAACCCCTGCAAGTCTTCACAGAGATAAGTTACTGAAAGTTTATACAGTTACTGAGGGAGCTTAAACCGTGCCCGTGTGTGCAGGGCTACAATGCCCACCTCCTTCTGTCTTCACAGGGCTCCACGGGAGGCAAACGTTAGGACCCCCAGCCAAGGCGGTCTGGTGGCAGCTTCTGAGCTTGTTACTGCCAAGCTACGCAATCTCGGGTGCATTTTTTTCATTTAGATTGTAAAGTAATCTCAAACCTTCAGTTCTGCTCTCTGACTCAACTGCAACTGTCCCAATAAACTTTCGAATTGGAAGAAGACTTTCACTAAAAAATAAATCACTTCTTATGCTAAAGAAAAAAGGATTCATATGCAGTTAAAAAAACCAAACCTGACAAACATTTGCTTCCTAGTGTCTTGAAATCTTCACCTATCACATGGCACGTGCTGCCACTGCACTAATGTCCACCAAGCACCATGTGCCTGGCTGGCACTGGGCCAAGGGTCTCTCATTTGGTGCTCACAGCATCCCAGAAGATGGCACTACCACTGTCCCCACCTTACGAGTGAGCAAAGACAACACATTAGCCCAGGCACAGCATTTTCTTTGAAAAGTCTCTTTCTAGACACCTGTAAATGACAAGTTCAGGGCAACATAAAATTAGAAGGGAAATTCACTGATTTTTCTGCTAGTCTTTAGTAAAAATATCAGAAGTGATTGTCTCACGGCTGTTCAAAGAATGAAATATACTCAAGGCAGGAACAATTATAACTAAAGAGGATGTAACGCCTTCCCATCTTGAGGAAAATCTAGAATTCCACACTAATGTTTAATATACTTTTACTCAGTATGTTTTCAATCACCTTTACAAGGGACACTGTTATGCCACTGGAAGGTCAACAATACTTTCAGAGCTGAGAATGTCCATTTATCATAAGACCATTTAATTCATTTTCCAACATAGTTGATTTTCATTTTCAATATAAGAATGTGAATTTTATGAACTATGGTTTAATGAATATGATTATTATTAATGTATTCGGAACTTCCTATGTGGCCAGCACTGTGATGTTCTACATACATCTTTTTTCTCTTAATTATCGCACTTCCCTAAGGATTCAGGCACTATTATCAACACCCCCTTTTAGAAATGAGTCTACAGATTCTAGAAGTGGCTTTCTGAGGTTGTGCGCGGTTCGGCGTGCTCTTTGTTAGCTTCTGCCATGGCTGGCGTACCATGGCCAGGGTCAAAAAGAGCAGGAGGGATGGTGCAGCCCATCAACTTCATCTTCAGATACTTGCAAAATAGATCTCGGATTCAGGTGTGGCTTTATGAGCGAGTGAATATGCAGATAGAGGGCTGTATCATTGGTTTTGATGAGGTTATGAACTTCATATTAGATGATGCAGAAGAGAGTCATTCTAAAACAAAGTCAAGGATACAACTAGATCGGATCATGCCAAAAGGAGATAATATTACTCTGCTACAAAGTGTCTCCAACCAGAAATGACTAATGAAGTGAGAAATTGTTGAGAAGCAATACAGCTTGTGTTTTTCAGGTGTCCTTTGCTGGGAGTACTGTTCTTAAACATTTATTCATATTGCTTTCATCACCTGTATGTTACTACCAAATGACAATAAATGATGTCAAATTGTTTTTATTTAAAAAAAAAAAAAGAAAAAGAAAAGAAATGAGTTTATAGGTAATAAATTTTCCCGAGCTAGCCTATTAAAAGGAAACACAGAGATTCACATCCAGATGCGGCCCAGAGCACTGAACTTTTAACCACTAAGCATCAGAAAGTGGTTTGTTCATGTTGTTTACTAGCATTAATCAAACATTAGCTAGAAAACTATATTAAGCTCAGTTCTTATTTTATCTTCATGCCCAGTACTCCCCCATTTTCATTTACTTTTGCTTATTTCTCCTTACTCTCATCAAAACATCTAAAAGAAAATATCTATTCACAAATCATAGGACAATCTTCTGCCAAATTAAAGAGATAACACAACTGCTGCTCTTACTTTTAATCAATGATGTGTGATAGCCTGTTTAGTTCTGCGGCTCATGCAAGCAGCAGTAAATGACCCCAGTTGTGCCTAGTATTGTAAAAATGCAACACGGTTTTTAAAGTCTTTAACAGCAATATCCTAAAAGCCCAGCAGATGTCAACCTCAATTCATGAAAATAGGGCATTTCCCCCCTTTAAACACTTCCTTCTTTCTATGATGAAACTCAAGGGATTCAGAACTTTGAAAATACCTGTGCTTTATATTTTATGTAAGAATTTTTAATTGAATTGTACATGTGTGTTTTTCAACATAAAAAGAAAAGTATAACAATAAGATGTAAACAACCAGAGAAAATAAAAAAATTAAAATTAAAATATACAAATTCCATGTTTGCCTCTCAGGACTCTGGCAAACACATTAAGACTATTTCTGACTCTTTTGACCCATTTTTTTTTTCTACCTCTCTCACATTTCCCCCTATGCTTCTCCTCCTCTGTATATATCATAACTCATTAATTGACTTACATGAATCAACACTATGGTCTCACATGAAGCATAAAATCTAAATTCTGAAGATGAACAGTAAATAAGTTAAAAACAATTTTTCTTTATCATTAAACAATGTTGTCCATGGTATCCATCCCAAGGCTGACTATACCCATCGAATGTCTAAACTAAACTTAAAAATAAATTCCCATTTACAAAACTGTTGACTAATAAAACTGACAATCTTCATTTAGATTTGAACAAAAATGTCTGTTACTCTGTATAGCTGTTCCAAAGTAGTTATAAAGTCAAAAAAGAAGAAGAAAAGAAAAACTAGTGATTTTCCTTCCCTACATTTCCAGCCTGGTGGTTTATGTGTATTAAATCTTTGGGGATTCAATGATCATCCAACAATGGTATTTCATTTCTTTGACCATTACTCCACTGCCCATATTTTAACCTCACTGAATTTTTGGTCCATTGCGTAGAAGAATTTCTCTACTAATAAAAATACAACCCATTAAAGATTAACTTGCCCCCAGGACACTCTCTCTGGAAACAAATTCCAAGCATTACAATCACCAATTTGCACTATGTAGACTGAAAGGCAGATAATCGTATTTATCCTGATTTAAATTGGAAGCCTACACATAGTTTAAGGCAACTTGAAAAGAAAAACGGCAAATCCAAATTCACAATAATCAGAAACCCAACCAAATGCAGACTTTACTTAACACTTTTCAAATGAAAGGTTTTCCAGCTAACACTATTATAATATCTGTTGACTTGCCAAACCCCCTACCTGGTATCTATTTTATTTCTGCAATTATGAAATTGCAAAATTCTTCTGTTCCCATTATTTAAGTATATATATATATATGTCAGAAATTGTGATGGGCACTAGAAATCTTTTGAATCCATTTTGTAATATTTATTATTAATAATAATAAAATAGATATATATTACATTCTTATCATTTGCCAAACAGTGTGGCAAGTTTTGGTTTATTGGTCATTATCTCTTTTAATTCTCACAAAATTCTAAGGGTAAGATACTAATTTCAGGCCCATTTTACAGATGGGATAACTGAAATAGAGGCCTAGGAACTGTCCCAATGTCCCACAGGGATTTATTTGAACCTAGGTCTGTGTGATTCCAGTGCCTACATTTGCTATAACCACCTGATATAAAGCAACAAGGCATATAATTATGTTTGGTTCCAAAAACTAGTCTTATTCCTTCAAATATGGTGGTTCTACATAATTTGCCACTAGAAACCACACATCACAAAATGCCTTCGTACACTGTGCACTGTGTTGCATTGCCAAACGTATTCAAAATTTACTTTCTTAGAAGGCATAATTCATTTACTGGTAATTTAGGAAAGTTAAAGCACTATGTTCAATCATTAAATAATTCTTTTGGGGTTAACATGTGAATATTTTATTACATATTGGCTGGTGAAGAAATGTTAACTCTGTTAACACTTTCTGTAAATAAAACCTTATCACTGCAAAGCAGTATTAAACCATCTCATGTCACAATACCATTATATACAAAGGGGAGAACCTTCAAATTTTTAAAATGCCTCACCCATATTTCATTGTATTCTACATGAAAATTAATGATTTCAAGAAAGAAATCCACTTCTACAAATCAAGTTATGGATGAGGGCTTCCTGGAAGCTAACATCACTGTTGTTATATATATATATATACACACGGGAAAAACAGGTAAGGAAGCCGTAGTATTATTACATCACCGTCACTCCATATTCATGTAGGAACCAAAATGGAAACTTGTTGAAAAGGTGGGTATGTGGTGTACCCGTTAAATCCAAACAACCTCACAACAATATTTTTCTGAATAAATGTGACATTTTGTTTTATAACCAGAAACTAGGCCAAAAAAAAAAAATCATAAGACAAATAACTAAAATGGGTTATCAAAATGCAACTGGGGCTTTAATTTCCAAACCCACTCCGCAATATTTTTATTTGAATAGTTCATCACAGAAGTTAACTCTCCTAAAAAGTCACATAATTTAAGGGGGGAAAGAGAGAGAGACATGACAAGCACTAGGGATGTTTATCAATAAAAATAAGCAGCAAGGGAGATGAATTTGTAGCTCATCCAAAAACGCCTGCCAAACACTCCTGCTATTTGTTTCCACCAAGTTATTGTTTTGGAAAACATGTTGTTCTCTCTTAAAATAACCTGCTTAAATGTTCTAAAAAGCCACTGCATTTCCAGGGGCTAAATAGCTCCCATATTGTGATGCATGGACTGATAAAGTCAAAGTAAGTTATGCATAAAGCCACACAAAAATGTTGGAAAGCTCCAACGCTCCCTTGTTATAAGAACACCAGCTACTGAATGAATCCACTACTGCCCTTAGTGAAACTAATGCCTGGTTCTCTACAGTGTTTTAAGAATGACTGTCATTCAAAATACCTTCTTTCTCCAGGTGAAGGAAACAAGCTACATCTGTGGCTACAGTTAGGCTAGTCATTATCATTTTAAGGAGGGCCAAAATGACCTTGGACATTTTAGCATTCACTCTGAGAACCCCAATCCTCCTATTAAAATACAGAATTCGTTTCCAGTCTGATAATGGTTAAGCTGTTACGCATGGGAAAGTACCAAAGAAACTAGGGAGTTAAAAACAAAAACAAAAAAAGAAACCCAAGTTGTGAAAGACACGGACACCCATAGTACAGGAAGATTTTTATGAACTTAGTGTAACTCAAGATGTGTTTTATAAGCCTGTCGGGAGATGAACACACACTGTCCTCCAACCCAGCAGCACAGCCCTGACACAATCCCCAGCTTTGGATGCTCACCCCCATCCTGGCCCCTCTTACTCCAGGGTGGAGGATGGGGGGCGGGAACTCCTGTCTTAAGCCTTGACATCTGCAGAGAGTTTTCAATAGCCAGGCAAGGCCCCTCAGCTGGAGGAAGTGGATACTGACAAGAGGAAAGACAGAAACAGATACAGACACACAGCTAGAATTCAAAGCTGCCAGAGAGTGGGGAGAGAGTCCCACGTACTCTGTGCGATCTGAGTGGGTCCGGATGGCACAACCCAGGTGTCCGGACTAAAGCTGTATCTTCCAAGTCCAGAATGCAACTTGGGCGCGGTGCAAAGTCGGCCTTCGGCTTCTCTGAAGCCGGCAAGTTAATAACACAGGGTTCCGGTGCCTAGAGACCTGAGAAGCGTGGACGGGTGGAGAGTCCCGCTAGATCTCCACTCCCTGGGTGTTCCCCAGGTCCGCGGGGAAAGGGACCGGGGAACTAAGTCGGCTGTGGGCCGGAGTGGCGGGCGCTGGGGCGCGCGACGGGGATGTCCGGAAAGGAGATGGGGGCGCAAATGGGGAGTCCGAGAACGCAGGGGGATGCCTACCTTGTAACATGGCCTCAAGTTTCTTCCTGTCCACGCGGAAACGCTCCTCGCTCCACTCTGGGCTGTGCAGGGGCGCCCCGGCGACAAGGTCGTCCTCGGAGCCAGGCATGGGCGAGTCGGTGCTGCGCTCGCTGTTGGAGCCCGGGTCCGACTGAGCCGCCAGGTAACCGGGCTCGCCCTGGGCGGCCATGGTGGGCGTGCGGCGCTCGGGCTCGGGCTGCGGCCGCCGCTGTGCCTGCGCCGCCGCCTCCGCTCGCCGGCCGGGCTCGTCTGGCTCCCCGCGCCGCGGCGCTACCTCGTCCGCCCGCAGCCGCCGCCGCCGCCAACGCCGCCGCCACGGAGTCCCCGGCGCATCCCAGCCGCGGGCGCCGCCCACGCCGCCTGCCGCCCCGGGTCCCGGCCCCGGTCCTCGGCCAGTGGCTGCACCGCCCCCAGCCAGCAACGCCCGCGCCAAATGAGCGCGCCGCGCCGCCCGCGCATCCATCCGCAGGGCTCCGGCGCGCCCTCCCGCCCGCCGCCCCTGCAGCCGCGCGCTCATTGGCCCGGCCGGCCCACGGGGAGGCGGGCGGGCGGACGCGCGCGGGCGGGCGGCCCCTGGCGCTTGTACA